AGAGCCCAGACAAGACAGAGATGATAAACACTTGCGGCCATTGAAGCAGGCAAGGTATTGTGGTCCATGAACAGACACAGGGAAGTGACGGTCCTAGGCCTAAAGGAATGTTTGTTGTTTGTCTCTGTGTTGAGAGGAGATATAGGATCCATTTAGGACAGAATGGGCTCCAGGATGCAGAGTGTTCTGGAATAGGTGTCCATCAGGCATTGAGAATTATCAGGAGAGACTACCTTTTATCCAAACCTGCAGAAAATACGTGATAGAGGAAGATATGCTGAGACAGAAAATGTAAGGCAGTTCATTTCCACCGGTCTTAATCTGACTCTAAACTATGAGGCAAGACTCTCCGCAGAGAGTAAGACAGGTGGGTGGAGGCCCAAATGTTCCAGGGCTTGAGGAACAAGGAGAAAATTTACCAGGCTGTGGGAAGTTCAGAGAGGCAATGGGAGACTCACTGCTGATTTCACCCACCTGAAGAGTGGTCTCACCTCTAAAGGAGCAGCTCCAAAAGCAGGAGAAAGAAAATCAGAGCAAAGGAGAGGTCCACGGAAGCACCATTAGAAGGGCACTCGGGCCAGGAACAGTGGCTCGTGCCTGTAATCCCAGCACTTTGGGAGGCAGAAGAGAGGGGATTACTTGAGCCCAGGAGTTCGAGACCAGCACCGGCAACATAGCAAGATCTCATCTCTACTAATAAATAAAAGTAAGGGCATTCTGAAAGCCTGACTCAGGGTTTGTAGTTACTAAATAGAGTCATCAATTGGGGACACAGCATACAATTTCAGACAGAAAGTATAGTCAATAACTCAAATAAAGCAGCAGGATATGTTGGTGTACATTGGTATACTCCTGTTTTTGATTTTATTCAAAGAATGTCAGTAATAGCACATGTCAAATGACAAAGGAGTTTTTAATCCCAGAAACACAAAGCTAGTTTAATGTTGGAGATGGGCTAATGTAATATATATAAAGAAATAGAATAAAGGGAAAAAAAACATGGGCATCTCAATGGACACTAAAAAATATTTAATAAAATTGCATGCCCATTCTTTAAAAAAAGGAACATTACAAACTAGTAATAACTTTTATGAATTTGTCTGACAGAAATATTCACAGATATACTCAAAGATACACGAGCAAGAATTTAAAAAGAAATAAAAGGCCGGGTGCGGTGGCTCATGCCTGTAATCCTAGCATTTTGTGAGGCTGAGGCGAGTGGATCATGAGGTCAGGAGATCGAGACCATCCTGGCCAACATGGTGAAACCCCGTCTCTACTAAAAATACAAAAATTAGCCGGGCATGGTGGCATGTGCCTGTAGTCCCAGCTACTCAGGAGGCTGAGGCAGGAGAATCGCTTGAACCCAGGAGGTGGAGGTTGCAGTGAGCTGAGATCATACCACTGCACTCCAGCCTGGGCAACAGGGCAAGACTCTTGTCTCAAAAAAAACAAAAAAAAAAGAAACAAAAGACAAAATGACTAGAAAGTAGGCAGCAAAACTGTGATCATTTACAGACAAAAACATTTTTCCATCCAGAAAATCCAGGAAAATAAACTACAAAATCATCATGTTTCCTACAAAACAAATAACTGGTTAGAGATGTAATATATAATATGGGAAGTTCCCATTCACAGTAACCACCTGCATTAGTTTGCTAGGGCTTTCACCACAGAACACCACGGAGTGGGTGGCTTAAACAGAAATGTGTTTTTTCACAATTCTGGAGGCTAGAAGTCTAAGATCAAAGTGTTGGCAAGTTTGGCTTCTTCTGAGGCCCTTTTCCTTGCATTGCAGATGGTATCTTCTCAATGCATTTTCAGAAGGCCTTTTCTCTGTGTGCAGGCATTCCTGGTTTCTCCATGTGGCCTAATCTCCTCTTCTCATAAAGACACCAGTCAGACTGGATTAGGGCCCACCCTAATGACCTCATTTTAATTTAATCACCTTTTAAAGTTCCTACCTCCAAATACAGTCACATTTTGAGGTACTGGGGATTAGGATTTCAATGCATGAATTTCAGTGGGAGAAACACAGTTTAGCCCATAACATTCCCAGAAAATATACAATACCTAAATACAATCCTAAAATGTTATATTAAAAACCTAGAGGAAGGCAGCTACACCATAAAATTTTACTGAAAGACATAAATGAACATTTGAATAAATGGAAAAAAAATGCACCATGCTCTTGGTGGGAAAGTCTTAGTATTATTAAGTTTCAATAAAGTATCAATTTATTCCAATTACTTTACTGGTAAAACACAATTCTAACCGAAAGCCCAACAAGATTTTCTTCAAACCTCTCACCCTTTCTTTTTCGTTTCTCTTACGTATTTCTCAAATCACCTTTAATTGCATACTCTTTATTTCTAATGAGTGTCCCACTATCAGCTCAGACCCAGCCTTTCACCCCAAATCAACCTTCTCAACCACCCTATATCTGGCAATGGGAAACCATCACCCTATCAGTCACCTAGGATAAAACCTCTGATTTTGAAAATTCTGTCCTTAGCCCAAGTATAAAGTCAGTCCTGTGTAGCCCTTCCTGCTAAAGTTAAACCTGCACACCTTAGCTCCATTCTGTCTGTCTTCCTTACCTCTGCACATCATCATCATCTAGATTCATCTTTCTAAAATACGATTTTCATTGTTATTTTTCAAGTTTACAAATACTGTAGTCGGTAAGTCTACTGGGTGACCTTGGACAAGTTAGTTAATCACTGTACCTCAGTTTAGTCATCTATAAAATGGGGATAACAGTACTTATCTCATAGAGTTGTTATGAAAATTAAAAGTTATAATTTTAAGGCACTTACAACAGGAAAAATTTTATATGTATTGTTAAATCAATAAACATTGTCCCCACTGTTTTACCTGATATCTAAAGTGTTCATTTCTGCGGGTTTAAGCATTGTGCTCTCTTTCCAAGTGATCATATTCAGAAATACTTGAATATTTAATCCATGTACACAGTTGTCAATTACATCATGATTTTTAACTGAAGGCAACCCACATGTCTATCAGCAGAAAAATGTTTATAAAAGATGGTGAAAGCCGGGTGCATTGGCTCACACTTGTAATCCCAGCACTTTGGGAGGCCAGTGCGGGCAGATCACCTGAGGTCAGGAGTTTGAGAACAGCCTGGTCAACATGGTGAAACCCCATCTCTACTAAAAATACAAAAATTAGCCGGGCATGGTGGTGGGCGTCTGTAGTCCCAGCTACTCGGAAGGCAGGAGAATTCCTTGAACCTGGGAAGTGGAGGTTGCAGTGAGCTGAGTTCATATCACTGCACTCCAGCCTGGGCGACAGAGCAAGACTCCGTCTGAAAAAAAAAAAAAAAAAAAAAAAAGATGGTGAAGTCATACTATGGAAAACTATGGAGAGAAAGGTAAATTTGTAGATAAAAGACACATCTGACATGAAAGGATGGCTATATAGCACATTGTTAAGTGAAAAACAAAAGCAGGTTAAAAACAAGAAGTACAATATGCTTTTATGTATAATACATTCAGTTTGGGAAGAATAGAAGGATACATATGAAGCTTTTAGAAGACAGAAGTCTCTTATCAAATGAGGCAGTATGACTTTCCTACAATAAACGTGTAACTTTTATATTAAATAATTAATATTAATTGAAAATAAAGAAATATAAAGGAAAAGAAACTAAAATACTGTATGTTTAAAACTTCTGGCCGGGTGTGGTGGCTCACGCCTTAATCCCAGCACTCTGGAAGGCCACAGCGGGCGGATTACGAGGTCAGGGTTCCAGACCAACCTGGCCAGTATGGTGAAACCCCGTTTCTACTAAAAAGACAAAAATTAGCCGGGCATGCTGGTGTGCGCCTGTAATTCCAGCTACTCAGGAGGCTGAGGCAGGAGAACTGCTTAAACCTTGGAGGCGGAGGTTGCAGTGAGCCAAGATCACGCCACTGCACTCGAGCCTGGGTGACGGAGCGAGACTCCGTCTGAAACAAACAAAAACAAAACAAAAAAACTTCCTTATCTCCTGGAAAACTCACTTGTCAAAAGATAACTAGTCCTTTTGCCTTTGATGCTCAGGTTAACTTCAGACGAACTAAATGAAGATACTTGTGGATTTGGGCATGAGCGGGAGTCAAGTGCTAGAATTTGCTTCGGAACTTCTCTTCCACCAAGAATGACTTTAAACTTCTTGCAAACTAGCCCCAAATGTTAACCTACATTTTTTATCTGAGAGGTATGCGTCATCAAATATTTTGGTTTTATCCCGAAAGTCAGCTAACAGAGATGTAATTACCTGAGCAACTCTAATGGAATGAGAAACAAAACCTTCCATCTTAAGCACTGATGAGGGTTAAGGAACAGCTGCCCTTTACAATAAACAAATCTCACTCTCTGAGGCAGAAATTCGCCATATAAAACACTGAATTTCTTCATCTTTTTGATAATCATTTCCACTATCCAGAAAAAAAAAATTCAAACGAGTTGTAAATAAAGTCAAGCGCAGTTGAAAAATCCTTTATCCACATATGCTTTTTAGTAGGGCCTATGTGCTCAGACTCGAGGGCTAGGGGTTTGAAAGCAAAAGGCAGCGCTCTACCAAGCGTGGTCAGGGGAAACGGCCTCCAAGAAACGAATTACACGGTGCACTTTAGTTACCTAGGCAGCTGTTTGTCTAGGAAACAGCTTATTGTTTTCATTTGTCATCCCTGGGCCTCACTAGGTATCCGGAAGCTCGGCCTCAGCCGCCACCTGGTGACGCTAATGACGCGCGATGTCTCCCAGCTGCCGCAATCAGAAAGGCTGAGCCTTCTCCTTTAAGAAGCTGACTCACGTGGATGCTGTGTTGTGTGCTCTCAGCTGAAAGGGGGATGTGGTCCCCGGACTCACGGCATTGGCCGCATCGAGAGAGGGGGCAGAGTTAGCCTCTTTGATTGGCTGTACGAGTCCAGGGTGCTGGGTCAGGGGCGGGGCGAGTTGTCGCGAGCCTGCCCTGGGTCTGCGGCTTCTGGGAGGGGTGGGCCGCGAAGCGGAGGGATGCAGGAGTGGGGGAGGGTGAGCCAGAGAAGGGGCGGGGCCCCGCGGAAAACGCAGGGAGCCGAGGAGAGGGGCGGGGCCTAGAAACGAAGGGTGTTCTGGGCCAACCGGGAGAGTTGACAGCGGGAGGGGCGGAGCACGCCGGGTGACTGACGTTGAGGCCCAACCAGGGAGAGGCGGGGCCAAGGCCAGGGCCTGACTAAACCTGGAGACTCGGGCGGCCGAGGGGCTTTAGAGCAGCTGAAGAGCGAGGAGCCAGTGGCAGTCGCGGATCTCACCGCCGCTCAGGGTGAGTCCCGCGGGAGGGGCTGGGCTAGAGGCCGGTGGGAACTGAGGCGCCCGTTCGGGTCGGGCGGCTTCGAGGCACTCGGGGATCGGCCAAGGGTGGGGGACCCAGGCAGGAAGTGCCTCTTCCTCGCCGCACGCATCCCGGGGTCTCAGAGCGGCCGCCCTCAACCCCTCAGGGCGGGCCCCGGCTCCAGGACCGCGGGCGGACGCGCGGAGATGTTTGCTCTTTGTGAGGCCTGGCGCGGCGACTGTCGTCGGCCCGCCCCCGCCGCGCAGCCGGGCGACCGGTGCGACAACAGCCGCGACCCCTCCGCGCGGCGCCCGCGCCTCCGCCCCGCTTCCCCGCCGCGCCCTCCGCGGTCAGCCGCCGAGGCCCACGGTGCCCCCTGGGCGGACGGTTTGGCCGCGACCTCCCACCCGCCGCGCCGCGTCGCGGCCGCCCCGCCCCCACCCGCCGCAGCGTCGGGGGCGCGCCCGGTCTCCGCCCCGAAGCCAAGTCGGAACTTGGCCGAGTTGTTTGGGCCGCGATGACCGCACGGAGTGAACCGTCCTGAGCAGGGCCCACGCCCGGCCCAAGCGGCCCAGCCCCCGGGAGGGGGCGGTGTCTCCCTTTGCCCCCCGTATTGAACGTCCACCTCCCCCGCCTCCCTGCCCGGAGGACCCGGGACTGACAGCGCGGGGTGACGCTTGTGCAGCCCGCCGGGTGTCGGGACCAAGAGAGCCCGCCGGCCACCCTCTCAGCTGTTTCCTGCCCATGTTTGTTGTGCCGGGGGCGGCCCCGCCGCTGGCGCCGCGCTCCGCCGCCCCAGGCCCTCCCGATTGGCCGGCGGGCGTCACGTGGCCGCCATCAGCTGGGCCAGCGGGGGCGCTCGCGGGTGCCACTGCGGCTGCCGGCCGAGCCCACCCCGGGGTCGCCCGGGCCGGCCCAGCTCTGCCAGCTTCGGTCCTCCGCTTGCTCTCCGCTCGCTGTTGGGAGGGTGGGCGTGCCCTTGCAACCCCTTTCCTGTACCTTCCTCTGCAGGTAGATGGGACAAACGAGTGTCCGGATCAGCGGGAGTGGGAAATTGAAATACTACAAAGATCTGTTTAATCCTGACACCAACTAATCTCCCTTTCCAGGGAGATTCTGGGAAGCTGTTCAGCTCATTTATTTTTAAACTTTTTCTGTTTACAGAGATCTGTTGGTAATCTGAGGATTTTTTATTCCACGTCTTCTTGACAGATGGAAAACCTGAAGTAACCTCGGGCTAACCTTGTATTTTTGGAAAATTAGTACACTTGGTGGTGAAGAAGCTGGGAGGAATAGGATATTAGCTAACTTTGCATAGCCACATATACAGCGTTGCAGCTGCATTCCACCAGAGAGGAACCAAAAGGCATATGGTGTTCCCAGGGCACATATTCATCCCAGAAGTGAAGTGCCTTGGTGGGTTCGTTTCCTGAAAGTTTATCGCATACTTGTACTGGGTTAGGTAAGAAGTAAAGTACAAAGAATTTAGAATAGTTTCTCTAGAAGCTTATAACTTAATCAAAAGTCGTAGACAAATGCCAATCGAGCAATAATATGAAAAATAGTAAGTATGAGACGTTGGTAAAATATATGTGACTTGGAAAATGTTACCTGGTTGGATCATGGCGAACTTTTCTCTAGTTTCCCTTTTCTGTTCTCTATTTAAGTAATGAGAAAAATAAAAGGTTTAGAAAAAATAAAAGCGAAAGGAAATAAGATCAAAAATTATGAAATGAAGAAATTAAAGCAGCTTCTACCCTCTGAAATTCAAACAGTCCATGAGACATGAAGGTAGTCCTAGGTATACTTGTGCCCAAAATATCATTTTAGGTTTAATAGTGAATGCTTATAGAGATCAGTGTCAGTTTTAAGGTATTCCTGGTGTAGTAATGTCAGTGTAATGCAGGAACTGAACCTTAGCTAGACCTGAACTTGCTACTTGACACTTGGGTCGGGAAGCCAGACAGCTTACACGTCAGTCCACCTAGTTAGAGGCTTTTGGTAATGCATCACAAGAAACGAGATCATGAAATTGTCTTACTAGGGTTTGGGGGGATATGACCAACTCAGATTGTGCACTAACACACACGGCTTCCTGAGTTAAATGACTAGTCTGATTTTCTGATATTTAAACAAATATAAGTGTTATTGAAATATAGTGAACTTGAAAATCATCTAACAAAACAGGAAAAAAGGCATTGTTGAGGGGGGAGAACAAAAATATATCCTTAAAACTTACTGCAAATGAAGACCTGATTCCACAACCAGGACATCATTTGACACAGCAAAGTAAACTGGTCGCGTACTGCAAGAGGATAGGAGAGCTTGCTTGTGTCACTGAAAACTTACCTTGTTACATATTTTGCACAAAAATTGGAAAGTTGGTTGTATGGATCAAACTGTTTTCCCATGTAGATTTTTTAATAGCGTTTAGTCACAACTCAGTATAAAAAGTTGATGAAGTTACAATAGCCATAAGTGCTAATTATTATAGTAATCAACCCAGCACTCTTAAAAGTTTTTTGGGTTTTTATCCTTTGTTTTGGCGAGGGAGGGAAGAGATTAAAAACGAGATACGAAAGCTGGCTTCCACCGGATTCCATTTTAGCAGAATCATTGCAAAACAAAACGACCTCTGCAAGGGGCAGGTTCCTTTAACCCTTTCTGCGCTAGATGCCTGCATACTCAGTTCCCTGCAGCAGAGTCTTTGTACCTTGCCTTTGTCCCATCTTCTGGTGCAATGGAAAACCCACTGCCGTCTGTCTGACACTGGGGATCTGGTGGAGTGTGTATTCTATGGAAATGCCCTGAGGCGATGGTTTCATTTACTAAGGAAAAGTTTATCTGTGAACTGGGTGTTTTTCCATCCATCAGAAGGTCCTATGAGATGCAATACCTACCCTCCCTGGTATTTTTAGGGCTGGGAAGTGGTGCCTCCCTTGACTAATTCCACTTGCCAGGGTTGAAACCAAACTGGATTATTAATTATAGGGACAACAAGTACCTCTTTTAAGACCTAGAACTGTGACATGCTTCAGAAGGTTTCTAACTTTCCTCCAGCTTCTAATTTCTATCACCTGGTCGCTTAGCTGTAGCATAATTAACAGGAAGTGAAGCCAGTTAATTGTTACTGTTTCATATCCTTTCTGGGCCATGCTTTTCTCATCTGTCATAGGGCGAGTTGGGATGGGGAATGTTGAAGAATAGATAATCTAGTTTTACTGACCTTTATTGAGCATTCACTGTGTGCTAGGCACCATTCTCAGAATAGAGTATCTCCTTTTAATTTCTCATAACTCAGAGATGGCTGCTACTCTCGCCATTTTACAGATGAAACAGGAGAGGAGAACTCACACAGTGTTTCCAAAGCTATTAAGGGGAAGAGCTGAGATTCGAATCTAGGAATCTCCAGAGTTCCAGTATCTCAGCTCCACAGTTTAAGACCTGGGGGTGGAGAGAGAGACAGCAGCTGGTAGATATTTTCTATTTTTATAATCTTTATTAGAGTTGATCTTCAACATGCTGAACTGGTTACAGAAAGTTTAGGATTTTAGCCAAAAAATCAGTAAAGAAAAGGGGAATGGGATTAAACTGATCTTTTCAAATACTCCTATCTAGCCTTAATCCCAAATACCAACCAAGTTTCCATTTTTTCTGGGAAAGACTGCTTTCTAAATGCAAAGCTCTTTCACTATCAGAATGTGTTTTTAAGCAGGGAAAACTTTTTTTTTGGTAAAAGACCAGGTAAAAAATATTTTAAACTTTGCAAGCCAGAAGGTTTCTGTAGCAGCTCCTCATACCTCTCCATTGTAAAGTGGAAGGAGTTAAGTGTAAACAAATGGGCGTGGCTGTGTTCCTGAAAACTTTCACACTGAAGTGTGAATGTCATATAATCATGTGTCAGAAAATACTCTCCCCTCCCCCCAACCATTTAAAAGTATAAAATTCATTCTCAGCTTGTGGGCAGTACAGAAACAGGTGGCGAGCTGAATTGACCACAGCCTTCCCTGCTTTTAAGGAAAACAGTTAGCAATGAGCCAGACAAGTGAACAAGACACCGTATTTCGTTTGATAGTGTATGCGTATGATAAACCAATAGTCTTTTTAGAAAATTGTTTTATTGATGTGGAAGCAACTAGGAAATTATATAGTCCATCGTATCCATCATGCATTTTAAAATAATGCATTCCTGGAGACTCTTTGGCAGATTTCTGAAGAGAATCACCCTTTTTTCCCCTCTTAACAGATTCTGTAGTTAAAAAAAAAAATTCTGTAACAAGGCAGAGATCCGAAAATGTTTTTTATATTTCACCAGAGTCTTCTGATAAAAGAGAAATTGGAAGTTCTAGATAGCTAAATATGCTATTGGTGGGAGAGGGAGGAAATTGAAAATAATGCTAAAATACGATCTGTGAAATTATCTATAAATTTCACTTATATTTTCATTCCAGCCCCTCACTATTTCAGGTAATTTCAAGTAAACTAAGAATAGGCTTCCAGTTAAACAGTCAAGCTTGGTACTTTTCTTATTCAACCTTTTTAGGGTTTTTATAACCTGGACCTACAAGAAGATAGTACCAAAGAGGCCTTATGTATAACATTATAAGGTAGGGAACATCTTAAAGAAAACTTAAGCTTTATGATGAGTTTAGCTCTCATCTCAGCTATAGACTTGAACTTCATCACTGACATATACCAAAGTCTGCGTGTTGCTACTAAAGGACACAGTAAGCTGCCCCCAGAATCAACACCAAACATTAGCTGTCTGTGAAAGCAGCTCACTCTTAAGATGTTTTAGCAATACGTGGCTGAAGAGATCTGGGATTACTCTAAGTCCAACCAGGGTGATTAGCATACTTGGGGAATATTTTGAATGTAAAAGCAATCAGACAGGAAGCAGATCAGTGGTTGCCAGTGGCCAGGAGTTGGAGAAGGTATTGGCTGCAGGCTGGTGTGGGAATTTTTGAGGGACTGATGGAAGCATTCTAAAGCCAGTTGGTGGTGATAGTGGCACAATTTTATAAATTGACTAGAAATCATTGAATTGTTCACTTATAGTGAGTAAACTTTGTCATTTAGAGTATTCCTTAATAAAACTGTTTTTTTTTTTTTTTTAAAACCAGCAATTTTCTATTCTGTCAGAAAAGTTTCAAAGTTTATAAGGGAGCAACCTCTATGAGCTTTTAGAAAGGGGCAGCACATGCCTTTGACCGTATTTTTGTAGCTGTGTGTAGCAGAAATGAAGTGGTATATATGAATGTATGTTGGGTTTAACAGTTCCCACTCCCTGACCCTGAAAGTTTTATCCAGATGTGAGGAGAGTTTGAATCTAATACAGTGATGAAGGGGAGGGAGGAAAACTTCCAAAAGTGATTTAGGAAGACTTGTTAATTTTGCAGTTTCTTAAATGACTTACTAGGGTTTCTAGTTTAGGAGAGTTTGTGATTGCAGTTGACACCAACCAAGATAGGGAATACAGGAGGAACAGCATGGAAGCAGGAGGGGCTGATGGTACACCCTGAGGGAGAGAGTAAATCTGACAGCCCTCTAATCGCTAGGGAGAGAATAGAATGCAGTGGCTTGGCCACTTCTGGAAAGTCACAGTCTCTTTAATTCGTCTGTAAAAGTGAGGTGATAAATACCTACTTTAAAAATTGTCAAAATTAAATGTGGTATGTAAGTACCAAGTACAGTGTCCCATACAGTGTAGATGCTAAGTAATTATTAGGTCTAAGGCAGAGTTCAATATGTTGTTCAGGTCCAGAGAAGCCTGATTCAAGTGTTATATCTTAGCTTTTTAATGACTGTCCTCCTTAAATAATGAAGTGACTGTCTTAGTTCATTCTGACTGCTCTAACAGGATACTGTAGACTGGATGGCTTATAAACAACAAATGTGTTTCTCCCAGTTCTGGAGGCCAGGAAGTCCAAGATAAGATTCAATGTCTGTTGATGGTACCTTTTAGCTTCGTCCTCACATGATGGAAAGGAGCAAGGCAGCTCTCTGGGACCCTTTTATAAGGACAGTAATCCCATTTTTGAGGACTCTGCTCGTGACCTAATCACCTGCTAATGCCACATATGAATTAGTGGGGTGGGGTACACAAGCATTGAGACCATAGCAGTGGCATTTTAATGGGTGTCAGCCTCTTGAGAGTTTGAATAGTGTCAGTGTTAGGTTGAGTTTCTAACCCTGCAAAGGCCAGGGCTACCTTTGGAGCCTAAGGACCCTACAGAGGTTTTTCTACTTCCTAAAGACCTTTGACAGCAAGTGATGTTTTGCTTGCTTCTGCTAGATCCTGTGGCATTCTCTTATCTTTCTTAGCAAACAAAAACCACATTCTACAGTTCTATATATATATATTCTCTATAAATGGCAACCACAACTAGGAATAGTGTAACATAAGGTTTTGCTCAGATATTTTTGGTCTTGGTAATGAATCATATAATTGAATCCAGTAAAAATACTTGGGTAAAGAGAAAAAATAGATGGAATTGGAATCAGGGAAAAAAGTCATGTTAAGTCTATTTACCCTCAATGGGAAATGATCACAGTAGCTTTTAGCCAAGGATAAAATGATGTGAGCAGAAGGTATAAGGGAAGTTCACTTTGAAGTCCAGCATATTTACCACAACAGCATGGTGTCACAGTGATCAATGTAGAAACAGCTAGTTACTCTCCATTATGGTTGAAATAAATTACAACATGAATATTGTATTTAAAAGTCTTAAGGGAAATTGGCTTTAAAATAATGAGTCCCAGAAGCCCTAGCTGGAGGTTACAAATGACTGCACAAATACTAGTCTTCAAAGACATGGAATCTGAGGCCTATACCTCAACGGCGGAGACTCTCAAACCTTGCCGTTGATTCCCTTCTGTTAATGATCAAGATTCAGAAACATGACCAAACTTAGCTGCTCACAGGCTTGTTGAATGTTTTATTTATATCATGAGTCATAAATTCAAATATTGGTACAAGGACCAAACAGGTGAAGTAATTGTGTGAAGCAAAGTGGAGACCAAGCAAATAAAATGGCCTGGTGAGGGTTAGGGGCTGCAGCTCAGTTGTAGTCAGTTGTTGCCATAGGAGAATATGTGCCCTCCCCATTGTTAAAAATAAATCCAAACTACAGGCTCTTTAATGAGATCTTCCAAATTTTAAATGTCACCTCAGCTTTCTAAAATGAAGATTAAAAACTGACCCAAATAAAACACACATGTCCACATATGTTTTTCAGGGAAGGGTTTTTGTATCTGTTCACTGCTGTATTCCTAGGCTACCAAATGAATTCAGCCTGTAGGCCTCAAATTTGCAACTTCTGACTTATATGTAAATAAATAATAAATGTATTCTTTTTTCTGTTTTGAGACGGAGTCTCACTCTGTCGCCTAGGCTGGAGTGCAGTGGCGTGATCTTGGCTCACTGCAACCTGTGCTTCCTGGGGTCAAGCCATCCTCCTGCCTCACCCTCCCGAGTAGCTGGGACCACCGGCGTGCGCCACCACATCTGACTAATTTTCATATTTTTAAGAGAGACAGGGTTTCACCATGTTAACCAGGCTGGTCTTGAACTCCTGACCCCAGGTGATCTGCCCACCTCAGTCTCCCAAAGTGCTGGGATTACAGGCGTGAGCCACCTCACCTGGCCAAGTGTTGTATTCTTAGTCATCTGGAAAAAAATAATGTGGTAATCTTAAAGGCTGAAATAAGGCAATAAGTGTTTCCTTTTGCTGTCATTTTGTAGAAATGTAATTAGAAAGTTAAATATTATAGCTTAAGAGTCTGTGTTTTAGTTCAAGGTTCATTGTGACTCTTGTTAATATGCTGGTTTTCCATTTACTAGCTGCACATTGTCATTATATTCACCATTTGTTTTTTATTCTCTATTAAACTTTCATGATGTTTAAGGGGTGTCATAATGATTTTTGTGATGACATTTCCAGTGACATTAGGACCGCCTAATGGCTGGGGAAGTTCATAGACTAGAAGGAATGGAATTTCTTTTTAAATTTGTAATGGAATTCCCCCAATCTTAAGACAACAGTAGATTCTCATTACAAACATGCATTCTGGAGTTTTTTGGTGTTTTTTTTTCCACGGTGGCAGTTATATTAGCTCTGCATGCCTTTGGAAAGATGTATAATAAATATTTAAAACACAGGAGCTGATAACTATACCCAAGAATAAATTATGTTTTAAACTAAAACTGTGGTATATTCTTGTCTATATCTAGATCTTTAAGAATACTGTTTACGAGAATTAGTTGTAATGAATTTAAGAAGTTGCATATAGTAACTTCCCTAACTTTTGAATGTTAAAGTGTTAGCCTAGTTTCAGACATATGTTTCAAACTTACATCTTTTCAGTGTTTCGGCCCTTCTGTGATTTATTGAATCAGTAAGATTTCTTAAAGATAATCAAGTTATGTATGGGAAAGCTTATCTTTCCCTTATTCTGTTCTCATTGCTTTAGCCTTATGCCAGCCTGGACCATTTTGGAGGCACTGTAGGATCATGGAAGAACTTTGAATTAGGTGAATTGCATTCTGTACTTTTCTGTAGTTAACAGTTTTGTAACCTTTGACTGGTTAATAACCTTTTTAGACTTGACTTGGGTGATCTATGAAGTGGTGGTAACAACCTCACAGAGTTGTGACAATTTTGAAGTAAGTACCTAGTAACGGTGCTCCCTAGACATTGGCTTAAAGTTAGTCATCAGCTCTATACAGTTGTGAGTGCACCTGGTGATCACAGACCTACTCACCCCATGTTCTCAAACCAGACTACTCTTCTTGTTTTCTAATTGCCCCTTTTTCTGCTTGTTTCCCCCTGGAACCTCACAATTCTTTTCTGAAATTATACATGCTCAGAACATATACTTAACATTTATGCTAAACCCCTTTTCTCACCTCTTTGCCAGTGCTTTACATCATTCATTTTCTGAAATTCCACTTTCCATTTTCTCTTTCCACACCAGCCATGAGAGAAGTGACACCATTCTTTAGCCTTGGCTAATAGGTTTACTTCCTTGGCTCACTGCTTTAAAATCTTACCTTAGGCATGCCTGTTTATTTGTTCAGTGTGTGAACTTTGGATCTTTTTGTTCAGGATCAGCTATTTCACATATTGAGTACTACAAAGCAGAGATTACATAAATAATGTATATAAATGGTTCTCTATGACACCCCCCAAGTAGGTGATAACATGATTATTATAATGCATTTGTTATCCTTTTCTATTTGCTCCTAGGTTTTTAGAACTTCAGCCATAAAAATGGGCAGAATTTTCCTTGATCATATCGGTGGTACCCGTCTATTTTCTTGTGCAAACTGTGATACAATCCTGACCAACCGCTCAGAACTCATCTCCACTCGTTTCACAGGCGCCACTGGCAGAGCGTTTCTTTTTAACAAGGTTAGTGAGAAAAAGTTTGAATCCTAAGTGGGCTCATTGGCTGTATTTGACAGCAACACCAGAATACCCCCTCAGAGTTTAGAGATACCAGGAAGAGTCAGAATGAGAGCTTGAAATCTACAGAAGTGATTGCCCACTAGCTCGTCTTTGATGGGACCTTAGGAAGGTGTTACTAGGATGTGATTTTAACCTTGGAAGTTTGAAGAAGTAGGCCGGGCACAGTGGCTTATGCCTGTAATCCCAGCACTTTGGGAGGCTAAGGTGGGCGGATCACGAGGTCAGGAGTTCGAGACCAGCCTGGCCAACATGGTGAAACACCGTTTCTACTAAAAATACAAAAATTAGCTGGGTATGGTGTTGCGCACCTGTAGTCCCAGCTACTTGGGAGGCTGAGGCAGGAGAATCGCGTGAACCTGGGAGGCAGAGGTTGTGGTGAGCCAAGATAGCTGTACTGCACTCCAGCCTAGGCAAGAGAGAGAGACTCAGTCTCAAAAAAAAAAAAAAAAAAATGTATAAAGAAGCGTATACTTTTCCTGTTGCCTCAGGAAATGTTCAGTGTAAGAATTTGGTAGTGACTTCAGCGCAGACTATGGAAGGAACAGGTCAAGACACCCACCTCCCTTTCTCCACATGCCACTGGTTTATCCATATAGGGAGATAGTGGCATTAAACTATTATAACTTGACAGCAAATAAGGATCATCTAACCAACTTTTCATGCTCTAATTCATGCTCACCAATCATCCTTCCAATTCTATTTGGTTTATTACATGGATTTGCTGACAGGAAGAGTTTCTAATTTGCAAGTGTGTACCCAGTCTGCCTGTCTCTAATTTCTGGCTTGCATTCAAGTTGGATGCTGTGATTCTGCCTCCTGGAATCTAGTGTATAATAGAAAAGTTGAATTTCCAAGTATTTTAGGCCAAGAAACATAGCTAGTCTAGGGTACTGTTCTTAGAAGATCAGATGAACTTCCCCAGTGGGTACTCCTCTGTTCCATGTAGAAAGAAGCTTTTCTCAGAATTGATGGAGCATACTCTTTGACATTTATTTCGGTACAGAGGAGGGCACACTGCAGCAGGACAGCTGCCTGTTTTTGTAAATGTAGTGGAACACAGCTCTGCTTGTGCATTACGTATTGTCTACAGCTTCTTTCATGCTACAGTGCCAGAGTTAAAAAAGTTGCAACAAAGACCACATAGCCCTCAAAGCCAGAAATATGTACTATCTGGCCCTTTACAGAAAAGGAAAGTGTAGAAGATTGTTGGGTATCCAGAATCAGTGGAAATTCGCCACAGGTTGTCTCAGACCCACTTCATTGTGTTCATTGTCTTTGAACTCACTTTAAAACTATGCATTGCAGATATATGGTCTGTAGTTGGCTTAATCTGTCCCAGTCTATATATAAAGTATATTTTCAGAAACAGACCGTTTCATGGAATAACGATGGGGCATTAGGTTCTTTTACATTGATTGTATTACTTGCACTCATCATTGAATAATGATGAATTACTACAGTTGGACCGAAACCTACATTTTATGGCTCCAATTCCAGGACTCTTTCTTACCTGCAACACAGAAATGTAGTATGTTTTAATAGTGTGACTTAGGCTAGTACAGTAGTGCATGATTGCATTAGATGTCTAGTGTTGTGCAATTTCCAGATGTCTGCCTGCCCCAGCAGCTTCTGTAAATAAGTCTCGGGTATTATAGGTTTGACTAAAGTAACAACTTTTTTCTCCTTTTCTGAAGTTGCTGTTGCATTAACCATAATATTTTGTACATACTTGGCAATATAACTCACATGTCTTCGCAATTTTGTTTTTCCTTGTCCCTTCTTAGGTAGTTAACCTGCAGTACAGTGAAGTTCAAGATCGGGTCATGCTCACTGGCCGCCACATGGTTCGAGATGTGAGCTGCAAAAACTGCAATAGCAAACTGGGATGGATCTATGAGTTTGCCACTGAAGACAGCCAGCGATATAAGGAAGGCCGCGTGATCCTGGAACGTGCTCTAGTTCGAGAGAGTGAGGGCTTTGAGGAGCATGTACCATCTGATAACTCTTGAAGATACAGAGAGAAATCCATCTTTTCCCAGGTCTCCTTCACTGAAAACAAAAATCTACTTACATACACTGTCACCTTAGCATCAGAGTCGGATTAATGAACTGCGGAACAAGAGGTTGTGAGAATCTAAGATGGAACCTTTCTTTCTTTTTTTTTTTTTTTTAAATTTTGTATTTTCCATCCAACAGCAGTGTGTAGAGAGAATATTATGCAGATGCCGTTAATTTTTTACCCTATGTTTACATCTTGAGGCAGAAGAGTCTGCAGCTATGTGGTGAGCTATGTAAGGAAAAAAATCTGGGCTGTTAGAGTGAAAAAGTGTGTTTTATGTAAATTTTGAAAGGAAGATGTTAGGAGTATGGTTTTTAAACTTGGGCTTCATTTTAAACTTTTTCTTTTAAACCCAGTTATCACTTGATTTGCTAGCTCCAGAGAAGAGATCCGAATCTGTGCCCAGCGCTAAAGGCTCAGTGTTAGCATGGCTTGTGCTGGCCGGTGTGCCATATTCTTGTTGGAGATGAACCGTAGCACCAGAGCCCATTCTTCCTTGTCAGTCTTGACCCAAAGATGTCACCATTCCTAGTTATTTGCCACCACATAATTGGTGTTGATTGGAAACTTCTGAGATGGGACAGAACTGCTGGGTTGTCTTTTTCCATGTAACTTAAGCATAGTAATATAAATAAAGTAATAGTTGGATGCTTTTGGTCCTGTGTTGCTTTTAAAAACACCTTATAAAAAAGGAGAGGATTTGATAAGCAATTTTCATAGTAAAGTTTCTTTTCATCTCTTAAACTAAATTGACCATGCATATAACGTTCTTTGTTTAAATGAAAGCATACTGTTTAAACCGGCAGTATTGCATTTAGAGAACAGTTGAACAGAATGTCAATGTGCATTCATGCAAAAACCATTAAATCTGCATCTGTTTTAGAAAAGGGGGAAATGAAGCAACTTATCTAAAAATACTGCTTTACACAGCATTTCAGCCTCTTCCCCTCAGTTTTGCATTGATTTTTGACAAGTCTGTAGAGCCTAATCGTTTTCATCAAAGGCCTAGATCTCTTGAGAGCATTTTTTTCAGCTCTTCCCTCAGAAGTTCAGCTATTGAAACCAAAACTGTACTTTGTACCCTCAAATAGAAAGGGATCAAATTTGACCTGGTGTTATTTTAGCCCCAAATTTATGACATTACAAAGTATTAAAATGTAAATGTTTCTTTATCCAAACTACTTCTAGGTATTTTAGTATTTGTTTCTGGTGGAATTAAATGATGGTAAAATTGGCTAATTATTCGAATGAATGAATGGATGGATGGATGTTTTGCATGCTCAATTTCTAGGTCCTTTGTCTAGAAAGGAAATTTGCCTCAGTTGAATTAGTGAAATATTTCTGTCGTTGATACTGAAAGTGACTTCTGAGTACAGTTAAGTTCCTCTTATTTGCCACTGGGCTGTTGGTTAGAAGCATAGGTAACTGATTAAGTAGGTATGATACTGCATTTGAAATAAGTGAACACAAACTACCCTTTCTCCACCATGGACTCAGTCTGAGAACAGCATTCATTTCCATTCATTTCCATACTGGCTTTTGATTATATGCAGATTCCTAGTAGCATGCCTTACCTACAGCACTATGTGCATTTGCTGTCACAATAAAGTATATTTTGTCTTGCATTGGTGCAGTACTGCTACTTATTTTCCACTGATCTTGTCTAGTGATCATCTTAATTTTTATCTCTGAACACATACTTGGTATCTTTGAGTACCTGTAGCTTTCTTCAATTGGCAATGATAGTGACGTTCTGACATGGTTAACTGCCTAATTCACACGTGAAGACATTGACTTTGCCAGTATTAACTTCTCTGAGATCATTTTGCCTTAGCTACTGGTAACTATAGTTCAGTATATATAAACAAAAAAATTTCATATTACTGGGTAAACTTTTAGGTGACTGGGAGGTACCAGCAACAAGCTCCTCTGTGCCTTTTAAAAACTTCATTTGCCAAAAAAAAAATATATATATATATATGAATGAAGATCTACTTTGGATTATTTACAGAAACCATTGTTCTTTTGAGATGGGGATACTAATTAATAGGAATGAGTTTTGCTTTGGGATACGAGAGTTAAACAAGTACAGGTGAACTTAACTAAGTAGGTTACTGAGGAATATACAGATTTAAGCTTTTTTTCCCCTGATCGAAGAGGAAGATTCTTGCCCTTAGTTTTAGGTGGCCGTATAACTGTAAGTAGTTTTGATCTTAAAGTGCTTTTATTTAGACTCTCAAGTGAACATTCCTGGTTAAAAATAATTTTAGTAATTATGTGAAGATTTAAGTTACAGTTAGGAGTTGTTACTTTGGGATTGGAGGGGGAAAATATCAGTACCATCTGTTTCCTAAATTTACCTACCCATAAAGTCATGTTTAAATCAGAGGCTGGGCCCAAGCCCAGGCTTAAATCAGTCAACAGGTAATTTTTGGTGAGGCAGAATTAAACTACCAGTTGTAAAATATTCAGACATGTTTATGATGATTCATTCCTAAACATCAGTTATAAAAAAATCTCAGTTTAAACAGATCCACTAATCGTTCATCTGTTTAACACCTGTTTCCTACCAGGAGCCATATAAATTTACTTCTAATCTATGTGAATTGGGAATAAAGCAAGATTAAACTGAAGGACTCTTATCAGGCTAGCACGTTGCACTGATAAGATATCTATTATAGGAAGAAAGCAGAACTAAGCAGAAATTAGGGTGGATACTCTTAAGTTGGGTGTTAATTGCATGGCTTATTTTAAAATATTGGGCTTCTCAAACTGAAATTTCTGTGGTAAAGCATAAAATACACATTCCAAAGTATCGGTAAAGGTTGTATAATCCTAAGCATCACTTTGCATATTTGGGTTTTAAAAATCATCTGCATCCAGCCTGGGCGACACAGCAAGACTCCATCTCAAAAAAACAAAAAAAACCCATCTGCAGCATGAGCACCTGGGAGCCTTGTTAAACATGTCGATTATGTCCTCATTCCCCTCCCCAGTACTGAATGGGTCTCAGGTGGAGCCAAAACTCCAGGTTTTTGTTGTTGGTTTTTTTTTTTTTGGCCAAACTCCAAAAGTAACATGTTTCTTTGATGCTGTGAAATATGTATTTGGTCGTCTGGTCTTCATCCCCATTTCCTAGCAATACAATCCCTAAAATCCTTGGAATTTTCAAAAGATTTTCTTTGTGTGTGCTAATAGAGACTGATAGCCAGGGTAGAGCTGGTCACGGGAAAGATACAGGCATGTTTAGAGGTAAGGTGCTTCCAGCCTCACAGAGCAACCTCCCGGGAGGGGAAAAGGGTTGCAGGTCAAGTTGATTACCAATTGCCGTCAGAGAGATGGGATTTGCTATAAGGGCCCTGGCTCAGAAAGGTGGACAAGAAAAATGATGAAAGGGTGATGGTCAGAAACCTTTGATTCCTGGGTGGCCACATGGCCACCCATGGTATACAGCTGCAACTGCACTCAATTACTACCAGTGAAATTTAGAGATGGATCCAACTCGTAGAGAGGTGATTCACTGGATGCATAAGGAAATGCAAGCTAATAAGAAAAAAGTGAACTGTACAAGCCCTTGGTTATTATCTATAATAGCTAAAATGAAACCAGAGAGTGCTGGGTCCAACTTTGATGCTGCACCAAGCTTAGGTTTCAGGCCGAGCTTCAGCCACTAGCCTCAGAGCCACCACAAGGGCAAAGTTATGCAGCAACAACAAAATCTCAGATCTATGGTTACCAAGAAGGTAGTCAATGTCAGGGAAAAGCAAAACCAAGTAACTTGAAACCAGAGGGTATAGTGTACAAGGATTTGTTGCATTTCGTAGATCAATATCATTAGCTTCCTGAAGAACCTTTACTAAAATGGACTATGAGAATAATTTAGGGGCAGTATCTTTAGTTTCAAATGCTGCAGAATGGAAGAAATGTTTGGGTTGATGGAGGACCCACAGTTCACTATTGAAAGATTGCAGATGGGCCGGGCGCGGTGGCTCAAGCCTGTAATCCCAGCACTTTGGGAGGCCGAGGCGGGCGGATCACGAGGTCAGGAGATCGAGACCATCCTGGCTGACATGGTGAAACCCCGTCTCTACTAAAAAATACAAAAAACTAGCCGGGCGAGGTGGCGGGCGCCTGTAGTCCCAGGTACTGGGGAGGCTGAGGCAGGAGAATGGCGTGAACCCGGGAGGCGGAGCTTGCAGTGAGCTGAGATCCGGCCGCTGCACTCCAGCCTGGGCGGCAGAGCGAGACTCCGTCTCAAAAAAAAAAAAAGAAAGATTGCAGATGGCTAAACATGATCCAGACACACAGGTTATTCCTGAAGAATAGCTAGTCTAGTGGACTGGATTTAAAAAGCCCCTGTAAGATCTGTTTACCCTGAGAATGAGAACTGTCCAACTTCCCCTATAAATGTGAGGCAGAACACTCAAGATAAAGCAGCTAATATACTTGATGTGCAAGCCATGTGGGACTGCCTTTATGATGACCGGGATAGTCACCCCCCATGTATGCCCATTACCCATGTCATGGCCAGTGCTATAGCTAAGAGAGCTCCATTTTCATGGGCACCTCATACAACCTTGCTGCTACAAAACATCTGCTAATACATGACAATCATTATTCAAAGGGTTATTGAAAATATAGTTGTGATATGTTACCATCTGATAAAAGCCTATGACACAAGAGGCTGATAGGCTAAGAAGTATGGGTAAGAAAAAAAAAACACATTAATATGGCTTTCCATCTGCTTTAAAAAGTGTCTTAAAATGGATTAATACACCAATTTGATAAACTGGCTTTAAGGAGTGGAAGAGTCCCTGGGAAAGAGGCACCTAGTTTCTGGGAAGACTGCTACATGTAAAATCGCTGGGCACTGTGGCTCATGCCTATAATCCCAGCATTTTGGGAGGCCGAGGCGGACAGATCACAAGGTCAGGCGTTCAAGACCAGCCTGGCCAACATGGTGAAACCCCGTCTACTAAAAATACAAAAAATTAGCTGGGCGTGGTAGCGGGCACCCAGCTACTCGGGAGGCTGAGACAGGAGAATCACTTGAACCCAGGAGGCAGAGGTTGCAGTGAGCCGAGATTATACCACTGAACTCCAGCCCAGGTGACGGTGTGAGACTCCGTCTCAAAAAAAAAATAATAGTAATAAAGAAGACATATCTGCAATGCTGACTAACTTTAGCTGTGTGACTTTGGGAAGTCAGTTAACCTCTGAACCTTAGTTCTCTCAAGTATGAATTGTAAAAACAAGCCCCGTCTTAAATCTTGTCAGAACATAGTGAAATATAGATCATAAAAACCTGTTGATAAGCAGTATGCGTGTAACTGGAGTAACTACTTTTTTCAGTAATCCTGAACAACTCTTCACAATTTAACCTAATTTGTTCTAAATTATAGAATGACCAGAATGCTTTCAAAGTTCTTTAAATCCTTTCTGGACTTAACTTGTACTGCTAAACCTTTCAGCAAATGAAGATTTGAAATCTGCAGTTTATTAAATGTTAGCATCTTGACTTTTCATTATAAGGAATTTTTCATAATCTGCTGTAATAGAATTTTACATTGCTTTCAAAAGTCTTCAAAGCTGCTACTTTCCTCCTGCCATGGAGCAGAAGAGAAAAAGGTGAAAAGCTCATTGAATATAATATCAATGGTAATTAAAAGGCCATCATTTCCCCCAGCAGACAAGCTAACTTTGAGAACCTGCCAGAGCTTTCACTAATAGCAACTGACTCATTTTCTCCTGTGTTGGTGTCAGCCTATTGCATACTACTGCTATAATGACGTTCGTCCAGTTTTTAAAGAATCCTAAGGTTGTGAGATAAATGGCTTATATACCTCTTCTGATGTGCCCTACAGATGAACAAGTTATCTCTTCCACCTGGATTTAAAGCAAAATACAAAGACAAATCCCATGTAGTAATTTTTAAAACCTGTATCCAAAGAAAATTTGAAAACCCAGCTTTGCAGGTGATATTTGTGTCCTTGAGGATAGGCCAGAGGTTTTCAGGGACTGGAGCAGTTTGAGAAATCCCCTGATGTGCCCCTGATCCAGGAGAGGAGAAAGCCACTCCTCAGAATTCACTCAGAATTTCCCTCTTCTTCCGCAGTTGAACTGCCACGGGGGGAGCTGGCCACCACCTTCTCAACTATCCCACTCTACCTGGAGCCCTCCCAGGAAATACTGGGCAAAGTGGAGACATTACTGTGAACTCCAGAAGATTCCATGAGTGTAATCTCTTCCCAGCTAACCCATCTCCCTTGTTCCCAGCCCAATGCAAGGTGCTCAGAGGCGTTTCTGAAGCTTGTCAACAGGCCAAAAGGAATAAAATATTTCAGTCCCTTTCAAGTGAGTCAGATTCTGTGTTAGAGAAGGCTTCTTAGGGCAACAACAGGAAGCGAGTTTCAAAGTTTGAGGGGGCGGTATTTTTAAAGAACTGGGCTAATGAGTAAAACATTCAAATGATCCTGCTAAAGTTTACACTGAAAAAAAAAATGTTTTTAATTTAAAAAAAAAAATCGGCTGGAACCTTTGCTACAAGAAAAGTACCAGTAGGTGGCATGAGTGTGCAAGAAATTCCATTCTTAACCACCAGTCTGACCTATCTTGAAAAAGAGAA